TAAATTAGGGGAAGATTATGTAAAAACGTACGTAAAATCTACCGGTGCCTTCAGATTTCAAGTGCGATTTCAAATAAATCAGCTGCCGAATTGTTTATGGTCAAAATATATAAAACGGTGTACAAGTAAAAAAGCGCTCGTTAAATTACGGCCAGATGGAAACAGTTTACTAAAATAAATTAGGGGAAGATTATGTAAAAACGTACGTGGAATCTACCGGTGCCTTCAGATTTCAAGTGCGATTTCATATAAATCCGCTGCTGAATTGTTTATGGTCAAAATACATAAAAAGGTGTACAAGTAAAAAAGCGCTCGCTAAATTGCAGCTAGATGGAAACACTCTACTAAACTAAATTAGGGGAAGATTATGTAAAAACGTACGTAAAATCTACCGGTGCCTTCAGATTTCAAGTGCGATTTCAAATAAATCAGCTGCCGAATTGTTTATGGTCAAAATATATAAAACGGTGTACAAGTAAAAAAGCGCTCGTTAAATTACGGCCAGATGGAAACAGTTTACTAAAATAAATTAGGGGAAGATTATGTAAAAACGTACGTGGAATCTACCGGTGCCTTCAGATTTCAAGTGCGATTTCATATAAATCCGCTGCTGAATTGTTTATGGTCAAAATACATAAAAAGGTGTACAAGTAAAAAAGCGCTCGCTAAATTGCAGCTAGATGGAAACACTCTACTAAACTAAATTAGGGGAAGATTATGTAAAAACGTACGTAAAATCTACCGGTGCCTTCAGATTTCAAGTGCGATTTCAAATAAATCAGCTGCCGAATTGTTTATGGTCAAAATAGATAAAACGGTGTACAAGTAAAAAAGCGCTCGTTAAATTACGGCCAGATGGAAACACTCTACTTAACTAAATTAGGGAAAGGTTATGTAAAAATAGTCGTAGAATTTAATGGTGCTTTCAGATTTTGAGTGCGTAAATAAGATCACCTTAAATTGCGATTAAATAGAAACAACCTACTGATACATAAAGAAGATGATGTAAAAATATACGCTGAATTGAATGGTGCCTTCTAATTTCTAATACGTTTTCAAATAANCTGGAATAATAAATTTTCTAGAAATAAAACAATTTTCAAAATCACTGCAGTATTTCCTAATTTTAGATAGATATAAGATTTTGGAAATGAAAAAAGCAATTTCATTAAACAAAAAACTAGCTAATGATCAACCCCTTCCTAGATCCTAAGCTAATACTACCTAGGCGCCCTAGTGTTTAAGAAAAATGTTATAACCGAAACTTTAGTACTTAATAATACTCTTGAAGATGCCCTAAAAAGGCGATATGTCATAATAAAATTTAGGGAAACTTCTCCAAATGTCTTTTTATTATTCCTTATTATTATAATGTTTCACCATGAATTTCCGGTCAATTACTTTCAAATAATTGATGTTATCGTTTAACTTGTGAATACGTAAAAATGTACGTATAATTTAAACAGTATAAACTTCTGTTTATGCCACATTATACATAGTGTATATTATACATTTTTTTTTAAAAGACCGTAGTTTGTTTATAGTTTACCTAATATAGGGTAGTCCATTAAGTGAAGTAAGAAAAGGTGCGACTGTCGCTGCTGAAAAGAGCTTGAAACGGACTTGGTTTTCTTTAAAAGTTTGTTTCAAAGCACATTAAGTTATTACACTAGTAATGTTCAAATTTTCTCAAAACAATTAATTATAAAAAGTAACAGCGGTACATATTTTATAATTCATTAAACCATTTTGAGAAAATTCTGCTCGTAGAGTCACGGCAATCTTTTATGGCATTAATTGTTTGTGTTGTGTTGGGTTTTAGTAATTTTATCAATAATTCCAATAAACATAACATAATATGTTTTCGCCTATAGACCCATGCCGCCTAGGATTTATCCGTTTTTTCTGCACATTACAAATCGTAATTATTTTGAAAACCGTCAAGCTTAGATCCTAATATGTCTCAATAAAACGAAAGAGAATTTAATTTTGCACTCAACGATGTCAAAATGAACATAGCTTCCCATTTGAAAAAAGTGACTTACTAATGTTTGAAACATTTAAAATTTGAACATTACTAGTGTAACGATTTAATGTGCTTTGAAAGAAATTTGCAAGGAATTTTAATTTTTTAATTCATATCAAATTCAAAGCGTATTTTAATGGATTTACATGTATGTTTCAAAGCTATTAAACTTTTGGTTTACTTCTGTATTAATGGCGCGAAAATTTTTTTAAATAGGTAAAATATATAAACAATTTGTTTTAAGTACATTAGTGACCCATATTTACTTTATTTTCTAGTGTTATCTTGGGTACCCTCCAACATCATTACACAATATAAACAAAAAATAAAAAAATACACGGGGAAAATAAAATAAGATGTAGATACCTCGAGAACTGCCCAAAATTTACAATTAAGCGAAATACGTAGCTACTTTTGTGGCTTCGAAAGCAAAAATGATAAAAATTACAGTCGGTCAGAATTTATAATTATTACCTTTAAAAAATATGAAATGACAAATCCAAATCACGTGAAAATGGAGATTATAAGAATTCTACCATTTACATCATTAATTTAGTTATTTACAATTAAAAAGTACAATTTTTACATGAATCTAGAATTTTGGTATTCTGCTAACTTACATTTGTTGATATTTTATTAATATAATGATCTTTTAAATGTAATTAAAACGGAATTTGTTAAAAAATTAGCATAATGTGTAAGTATTGAATCACTAATGCACCTAATGGTACCTGCAATAAAATATTAGAATAATACATCTTACATATGTCACTTTCATTCATGTTTAAAAGAAAAACTTTATTTATTGGTACTAATTATACGACTCACATCATTAGTAGGTAATCCTTATACGATCCTATGAAAATATTTTTAATTTAAAACACAAATATGCCATGTTATTCAATCACTAACCGTAAAACCGGCTAATTAACCGTAAAATAATAACATCAACTTTTTAAATGCAAAATAACAAAGACATAGACACAAAACCGAAATAAAAACATACCTACATATTCGACTACTATTATGTCGATCATATGTCGATCCTTATTACTTCGTCAGTTATCGTTATCAGCTGTGTCTTAAACCCGATCACCTTTAATGTCCTCTAGAGGCTCTTTTGGGCTAAATAATTCTAGTCGAGTGAATGACAGCTTTAAAAGGGTTACAAAATGTTTTGAAGAAATAAATATAAAATCTGACGTACTCATTAATAAACAAACATATGTTTAGTTCACATATTATCAAAAAAAAATTGAAATACATGCATATTTTTTTTACCTTCTTTTAGAAATATTACTTCAGAATTAACAAATATTAAATCAGATATTTTTACATTTTTTTTACATGAGGTAACAATTATACGTTATCGTCTTTTAGATTATCGAAATAAACAAGTTTTGGGCATTAGGTATAAAATGTTCCAAGTTCCAAAATTCATTAATCCATACATCACATCATCATATCAACATTTTGAACGATGGTACTCATTTATTGTAAGTTTGATTAAAAATTTTTTTACAGCTAATAAAAGCAACATATGTGAATAGAAGTAAAAAAGTAAATATTTAAAGCAGTTTAATAACGGTTCTAAAGCTTTTAAATGGGAAAATTTTTGAATTATTAACAAAATCGTGTGGTGTGCGTGAGCAACTCTACATACATCATTGTAGCATGGGTTGCATACGGATGGTGCAAAAACTACCCTTTTATACTTTAATTTGATTTACAAATATACAAAATTATCTGGGAGTACACAAAAATTAAAAAAGATAATATTTGACGATCACTAAGATCACTAAAAATTTGAAAATACTAACTGAAAACCTAAATACCACATGAAAACGGTTTTTCATTGGACAATTATCAATAAAATAGTTTTCTTTTCTTACAACCTTCTGTGTATTATACGAAAGTCAAAATGCAGTTCAATTTCAATTTGTAGCTAGATCTAATAACATAAAATGAAAATGATTATTGATTGTTTACTTTGTGCATACATTTCCAAATAATTTAAAATGAACTTTTTACTTTATCAAATTGAATTCTAAAGCATTATACTGCATATTTGCTACTTTAAGTTTGTAAATTATTATATGTATATTTGTAAAAGCAGTGAATACTAGTTTGTCCGTGAACATTAAAATAAGTAAATAAATTAATATATAAATGATTTTGCCTTTAATCAAAATCCCATTATCATTACTTAATATTGTCACTTACCTTTACGACGGTGCCATTCATATCTTTAGCAGCAGATGCCACGTTGATTCATCTGTTTATTCGTCTTGTACAAAGCTACAGGGCCAAGAATTAAGCAATTAGTTTTGATTAATGACCCACTCCTACTGTAATGCAACAAGTAATTAAAATGAAAAGAATACACCAAGAGGACCTATCGCCATATTGTATAAATATAATCAGATGGTAGTTGTATTAACTTAAAGTAAAATGTTTACATATGTTAAGAAGATTATGGACAGAAAGTAACAATTAATAAGAGAAACACAAATGTGGGGACCGATTTAACTATCAGATTAATTTAAATATGTAACTTACTCACAAATACTTTTACTGTGCTAGAGCAATAAACTATTAAATGGAAAATTTTATTTATAACAATAAATAATATACATTTTTAAACAATAGTATGTATGCAGTAGATATAAAATAATAAATAAATAAGCATCAATGAATATTTTTGCTTTTATGTAATGTAGTAGATTTAAAAAAAATTCTGACTTATTGAAACATTCAAATGTTAGATCTTATAAAACCAATAACTAAAATTTAATTACAATTTTATTCGTTAAATAGATCTCAGCAAAAAGTGCATTCCCCAAATAAAATAGAATAAATGTTACAAAGACAAAGAAATAATAAGAGAATTGATTTTCAAATACCATAAAAAAAAGAATAAGCAATTTGTGATCTCTGTATATAAATTATTCGCACGTGCATGTAGGACAATTACTGTAGGTTCTGTACATAATTCTCTAGTTAAAACAAGGGATTTTTAAAAGTCACTTTTATATTCCTGTCAAGATGACGGCAGGGTCTTCAACCGCGCTTTTGATTTTACGCAAGAACAAAACAGCCTCACGTCCATCAATCAAACGATGGTCATATGTCAGTGCAACATACATCATTGGTCTAACTTTTACCTTAAATTAAAAAGTAAACCTCCAGTTAATAGAACTATCATAAATACTTATCCCTTAATAACAATGTGTATTTTATTCAATGAATAAATGTTTATCTTTATTATATTTTTGAATGAAACATAGTAAAAACCTCTTACCTCTCCTTTAATTGCAATTGGTCGATCGAAGATACCATGCATTCCCAAAATCGCAGATTGAGGAGGATTTATAATTGGTGTACCAAACATAGAACCAAAAACTCCTCCGTTGCTTATAGTAAAAGTACCACCATCCATATCTTCAATTGCCAAAGCTCCTACAAAAGACAATTTTTGTTCTCATACTCCATATTTTTAAAAAAAGTATATATTAGACTAAATCTTTTAATGTTCAGGAGATTCAAAACTAAGAAAACCCTTAAAAAAGTTTATGTAAAAATTTAAGGAATAAATTTACAGTACAACTATTTTCTTATTGGAAAATAAAGACTAAAGAAATTTTAAACGAATTTTTTTTAAAATGTATCTAGTTTTATCGTTGATTATTTAACTAGGCTTTTTTTTATCTAAACTTTATTTAACTATTACAAGTAACGACTTCTTTAATACACAATGAAAAGCGATTCTGGATCATTCAAGTGCAATTTAAATATGTACAATTATTGAAGTAAACATTACTCCCTTAAGGAAGTATGGAGAATGATGGGTAGCCAAACACACATTCAATAAAAATGATACAATAAGCTGTCATAATGGGGGCCACATATAATGAACGGGTTTCTAGATTATATGATTTCATTTTTTATACTTCCTAAACCACTTTATTTTCTTTTTCATTTAATTAAAACTAAAACGATGCACTTATCAGAACCTACATAAAAAATGTTTAGTCTCATACCCTTTCTTGCTTTTTCACTAAGAGCTGCCAATCCTAATTCGATGTCAGCATAATTCATTTGTTCAACGTTTCTCAAAACGGGAACGACAAGTCCCTTAGGTGTGGCCACAGCCACTGAAATATCTATATAATCCCGATAAAGAACTTCTAGGCCATCGTCGGAAATAACGGCATTAACAACGGGCTGATCCTGCAAGGCGTACGCTACGGCTTTACAAAACACAGACATAAAACCGAACTTAATGCCAAACTTCTTTAGGAAAGCGTCTTGATGTGCTTTACGGAAGTCCATTATGGTCCTAATTTTTGAAAGAAAAAAAAAATAGTCATTTAATTTTTTGTTAAGGAATTTGTTGCTTTTAGAAATTTAAATAATTTAAATTAAAAAAAAAATACTACAGAATAAAGCAAAAATGTTACTGTTATAAATACTAAGCAAATTTCAATTAATTTACTATAAATTGTATCATTACACAATAAAAGTCATACTCAAGCAAACCTTTTTTTTCAAACCTCAATTATCTGCTTAAAAAAAAATAAGAAATACGTAAGAAATTATGTTTAGCATGCAAGAAACTACCTTCTTTGTTTTTTTTTATTAACATAGTAAACCTTAACAAAAAACTCTGAAATTTATTATAATATGTAGCATAAATCACAAAAACAGTTTTTTTTTATGTACTCACTTCATATCAATTTCATTCATAGTTGTGAGCATGGCGTTCGTGTTTTGGGCCTCCTTCAATCTCTGTGCAATCTTCTGCCGCATTTTGTTCATTTTCACGCGATGCACAGTCCTCGTGCCCGCAATTTCCTTTGTAGGATCTGCAGGCGGTACCTTCATGAAACAAAAACCTTATCACTAAATTTAAAATAAAAAGGCAAAGGAAAAGATGCAACGTACCTTAACAGTCGCAGCTTCAATGGCCTGTGCATGTCGAATCGCGGCAACGGGCATTGCTGCTTTAGGTGGTGACGGTTGTGGTGGTGCAGCGGCTGGTTTTGGTGGTGGTGCAGCAGCTGGAGGAGGTGGAGGAGAAGAAGGAGGAGGCGCTGATTAATATTTTTATTCATTTAGAAAAAGGTTGCCCTTAAGTACGGATACAATTAATAATTAACTTAAAAATTAGAGAAAGTGTTATAAAAGCAGAACCAAATAAGTTACAATTTAAACATAATCCCAGCAAATATATATTAAAAGAAACAGAAAATATTATTTTAGTTTAATAATTCTTACGAGTTTTAAGTGTAGTCAATAGTTTACCTCTTGTATGGGTCTAAAAAAATCATCCTAATTTAAATGGATTTCCAAATTCATCAGAATGATAATCTAAAAGCTGCTTTTATTAAGCATGTACCATAAATATCGTCGAACTCATAATAAATATATTATCCATAAACTATATAAAGCTCATCATGGAAATTAAAAATGTGTGTTAAGTACTCTAATTATTAGTACTATTCAGAAAGACTGGCATGTAAACAACAGAAAATATTTATAAGCGTAATGAGATAACGTTTATCTCGATCTCGAAAGGGAACTTTTATAATTGCAATGCAAAACCATTAAATAACGACTTACACCTTTGGAGCATTAATTTTAACATTTTGCTATTTAAACATAAGTGATTTCTAATTTACTCATGAAAAATACGTATGAAATATTTCAAAATGTTTAATTTCATACTAAACAAAATTTGAAATCAATTGCCGACTTTGTACCTTTACTCTTTTTATTCAACAATAATAATAATTTACTTCCTCGATGCATTTAATTTACAAAATCCTTTGAATGATGGAGACATACCTATTAATATGACAATGATAAAATATGGACCCACAAACTTAATTCCTTCAAAAATGAAAAATTTAAAAACCTCATGCTAATAATAATCAGTACTAATTTTTAATCATTCCTGGATGTTACAGAAATAATAATATACTATAGTCCTATACTACAATTTTATCAATGTCAATATTAGGATAAAGATAATTATTGTAATGAAATTATAAACAATAAATGAATTAACTGATGGTAATTTTAGCTGCAGAGAAATATTTTTAATATAATAAATTACATACCTGCAGCTGCTGGTTGTGCTGCAGCTGGTGCAGGTGCATCAGCAGGTTTGGCTGCAGCTGGTGCTGCTCCACCTTCTGTTAATTTCAATCTAAAAAGTTTTGCATTTGCCTTCACGGTATCTCCATCTTTTACATAAGCCTCTTCAATTATTCCGTTGGCAGGAGATGGCACTGGAATTGCAACTTTATCGGTTTCAATTTCCAAAACTACCTCATCAACTGCGACCTGATCACCTACTTTTTTTTCCCATCTAAAATTAGAAAAATGCTATATGAAACAAATATACCTACAGAAAATCCTTCTAGCAGAAACTTAATGATACTTGCCTGACATCCCCCTCAGCGACAGATTCAGGGAACACTGGGCAGCTGACATCTTGGGATTCACATCTAACAATAGATGTATGAAAGTATTTAATTCCTTGCAAATAGATACCATTTTCCTGCCTTAAATTTATACTTTTCGATCTAAAAAAAATATTTTATACATTTGGATATTTTTTTCTTTTCAATGTTTTACCTTGGATTAATAACAAGGTGAGCCTTACTTCTAGATCTCTTGGTACTGCGATGACTACATAAGGGTTCTCTAAATTTAAAGGATGCCTATCAAATAAACAAATATATATTTTCATAGATTACATAACATGGCTTTGGAATTAATTGAATCTTCTTCTATTTTTATGTAAAAGTTAGTTAATTATAACCTGCATTTGACACTTACCGCTAGTACTTCTGTTGTAGTGCAGAAATTCCGACTTATAGAACGTGTTAAATTTTGGGATGCAAGGGAAAGCATACCCGCCATCCTTTTAATTCAGGACCCTACAGTACTTTAATAAAAATGATGAACAAAAATTTACCGATCATGTGCTGCCACAGCTGTCACAACTGCGGCAAGTCGACTAAAAATCTTTTCTATGTTCTAATGATTGCATGAAATTGACAACGCTCATAGAAAATTAAAGTATACAGTGTGTCTGTGTAAACTAATAAAGAGAAAAGGAAAATAATAAGAAGGCATAGAACTAGATCCAACTTTTTTTCAATTCCTATTTTTAATAAATTTAACAACAATTCTAAATCTTCAGCATAAAGAACTATCATTTCGTTATTTTTTATGTATGATTTATTTAGCAGGTTTAAAAATCCTATTTTCGTTCTGTGGTATGTAAACTTAAGATCAGACTTATTTATGGACAAGTCAAGTTGATGACATTTCATACGTCAACGACCAAGGTTAGAATTATTATTTAAATTGTAATTATAATTGTATTTAAAAAATTCATAACAGTTTTATTTAATAATTGTATTAACAACAGCATGAGCAGTTCAGCCCCTTACCAAAGATTTATGAGGTTGCTAGAAACTTGGCCTATTGATAAAAACAAGAGTGGAAAGTAAGAATTGTTTCATGTTGTAGAACAGAATAAGTATCCGACAATTTTTTCTTTGAGGGATTTTGGAGCACATTTGCGAAACGTCTATAAAACTATTCTAATTGATAAAAACACCAAAGGAAGTGAAGAAAATTTGGATCGACAATACCTATCCTTACAACGTTTATTATGTAATGAACATAAAAAGAAAAATAGCCTTTCACGTTCCTATTCAGCATCTGGTTTATCCGCTAAACAGTGTAATGAAGCCTTATCTTCCGAATTCTTAGAAATTTATAACGAAGAAAACACGTCTTATTGGAAAAAATTACTTAGAAGATTTAAAAGTGAATAATGTATGGTATAATTAACAAAGTTTATGTTAGAAAGTATAGTCTATATTTCAAAGGTTTGTCTCATACTCCTGTTATGGTTAATGAGGTTCTAAAATATCTCATGCCAGAACCAAATCAAATATTGTTGGACATGACTTTTGGTGCTGGTGGTCACAGTAGAAGAATTGTAGAAACTACTCCTAATATTAAATTAATTGCCTTAGATAGAGATCCAGTTGCTCATAATTATGCATGTGAATTAGAAAAAGAATACCCTAAGCAAGTACTTCCTCTTCTTGGGCGTTTTTCTGAGCTGCCTGATCTTTTAAAAAGTAATGGCTTAAAGAGAAATTCTATTGATGCAATTCTATTTGATTTTGGTTGTTCTTCAATGCAGTTTGACACTCCTGAACGTGGATTTTCAGTTGTTAAAGAGGGCCCATTAGATATGAGAATGGATGGAAACAGATTCCCCAAAAATCCAACAGCTGCTGATGTTTTAGCTAAAGCATCAGAAGAGGATCTTTATAAAATAATTAAAGTTTATGGAGAAGAAAAGCATGCAAGGAAGATTGCTAGGGCGATTGTTGAAGCTCGGTATCTATTTAAGAAACTTACAACAACTCAGCAATTAGCAGATCTTGTAGACTCAGTAGTGGGAGATCAAATTAGACTTGACAAATTGCAGAGGAAAAGTCACAATGCAACAAAAACTTTTCAGGCTTTAAGAATATTTGTAAATAATGAACTTAATGAAATTAATTATGGGTGCCTCTTAGCACACCATTATTTAAAAATTGGCGGACGATTTGCAGCCATTAGTTTTCATTCTTTGGAGGATACTATTATAAAGAAGCATCTGACAGGGAATTTAATTGAAAATACACCCAACATATTACCATTAAAATACTGTAGTCATTCACTTAATATTAGTAAGACAACTGTTGAACAAGTAATGAAATCAAATTGGCACTGTTTACACAAAAGTGTTATACTACCTACACCTGAAGAAGTTGAAGACAATCCAAGAAGTCGTTCTGCAAAACTGAGAGCAGCCATTAAGGTATCATAAAGAAGTTATTTATTTTATATGTAGCCGTTTAATGTTATTAGTAAAATATATTTTAATTTATTCACTTGTAGTTCATTCAAAATCTTAAAAAAATCGAAAACATTTCAAACAAAATACATATACATTTTTTTATTATATTAAAATTAAATGAAAATTTGGTGCTTACATTTGGTGGTAATTTCCTTGACTGTGATATATTGTAAAATATGTTGTAATTTGTCTAAAAGAGCCCTTCGATTTCACCTGTTTCGATATTAAGATCAATATCATATATTGCAGGCCTTGTTGGCAATCCGGGCATTCTCGATATCTGCATTAATTAAAAAAAAAATAATAATAGTAAACAATACTTATTTTCACGACTTCTAGTTTTTCTGTTGGCCTTAATACTTTTTGCTACTTAAAATAAAAACCAAAAAAAAAATAACAATTACTTCTCTACTTATACTGACCTCGCCACAGATTGGTATGGTAAAGCCAGCTCCAACAGCTACTGTTATATCATTTATTTTAACTATAAAATCTTTTGGTGCTCCTTTAATGGCCGGATCGCCAGTTAACGATAAAGAAGTTTTCGCCATACAAACTGGCAACTTATTATAACCCTGCAATCAATAAAGAAATTAAAAAAAGTTTTTTAATTTAAAATGATTTTAACTCGCCAGTTTCGTAAATTTTTCAATTAACTTAAGAACTTCTTCGGTACATTCAACTCCAGTAGCACCGTACATCTTCCTAGCTATTAAGTTCATTTTATCTAGGATTGATAAATCCAACTCGTATAAAAGTTTAAATTTGTTTGGTTGATTGGATGCTCTTATTACAGCATCCGCCAAATTTTCTGCTCCTTTACCTCCATCGGCCCAATGGGTACAGATTATCGCATCGAATGCACCATTTTCCATTGCCACTTTACGTATTAAATCTAATTCGGCATCTGTATCGGTCCTAATATCACCATAAAAAATTGTATAAACACAATTACAGTGGGAACAGAAATAAAATTTAATTCATTTTAAAAGTTAACTAAACTTACACTATTTTATTAATTGCGACAACAACTGGTACACCAAATTGGATGCCATTGTCAATATGTTTTATAAGATTTGGCAATCCCTTTGCCAATAGATCCAAGTTTTCTTGGGTGTACTGTGGTTTCAGGGGGAGTCCAGGAGTTACAATTGGGCCACCTCCATGCATTTTTAGTGCTCTAACTGTAGTTACCAAAACTACAGCATCTGGTGCATGACCAGAAGCTCTGCATTTTATGTTGAAAAACTTTTCCATCCCTAAATCAATTCATGTTCAGTAAAAATGCCAAAATAACACTGACGAGCAGTCAAATTGTTTCCTTACCAATGTCCGAACCGAAACCCGCTTCAGTGATTGTAAAACCGTCTGGTCCAACTAACTTCAAAGCAATGCTATCTGCTAAAACTGACGAACAACCATGAGCAATATTTGCAAAAGGACCTGCATGTACAAGTACAGGTGTCCCTTCTAAAGTCTGCATAAGTGTTGGTTCCACAGTATCTTTTAGCAGTACCATTAGAGCTCCAGTCATACCCAGATCGTCAGCAGTAACGGGATTTCCAGACGTATCAAGCGCTATTACCATTTTGCTAAGTCTATCCTTGAAGTCTTTCAGATTTTTAGCTAGGGACAAGATGGTCATAATTTCACTCGCAACGGAAATGACGTAACCCGTTTCTCGTGTAAACCCCTTCTCTGTAGGTGACTGACCAATTGTTATTTTTCGTAGAAAACGGTCATTAATGTCCAAAACTAGACAGCAATAAAAAAAGCTCACATCATTTTAAATTATTATTTTATTAAAAATGTAATGACACGTACCTCTTGGCCAAATAATTGTACTGGCATCAATATCTAATCTCGCAAACCGTTTCTTTTCTTCATCGGTTAAGCTATCGGGGTCCGTTTTATTTATGCCCAATCGTTCAAGACGTCGCAGTTGTATTTTTGAAAATTTCCTGGTTCCTTTAATGATCGGTACCAATCTATCATACAAAGCAGTATCTTGTTGAGTTTTTTCATGAAACATTCTTGCGTCTAACTGAGCGGCAAGTAAATTGTGGGCGGCACTAATGGCATGAATGTCACCAGTAAGATGTAAATTAAATTCATCCATTGGAATAACCTGAGAATATCCACCACCAGCTGCACCTCCTAAATATTAAATAAATTATTAAGAGTTTCATTTTCGAAAAGCTCTGTATAAATACCTTTAATTCCAAAAGTAGGGCCCTGGGAAGGTTGACGCAAACATGCGATTGCATTACGTTGTTTATGAACGTTTAGTGCTTGGACTAAACCGATAGTAGTGGTACTTTTACCTTCTCCCAAAGGGGTTGGTGTTATACTGTCAATTAAGAGGTAATAATGCAGTTAACTTTATTTTTTTATTTTCGTCAGATAAACTTACCCTACAACTACAACATATTTGCCGTTTTGAAGATTTTTGAGACGATCTAGAGCCGAAAGTGAAATCTTAGCTTTCGTGCTTCCATACTGATTGACTTCGTTTGGTGCCAATCCAATTTCTTCTGCTAGTAGGGATATTTTTTTCGGTATTTGACTGCGAGCGATTTCTATATCACTGAAAATTAAAACTCAAAACTTTAAAACCGCAACTGCACCAAATTTGCAAGTATTAAAAGCGTACCTACCTCGGTACAGGTCTTTTAAGATGGAGCGGCAGTGTTTTTAAATTCCAATGTCCCACTAATAATTTTTGAAACTGCCTTTGAGCACTCAAAACAGTATTTTTCATTAGCATTGCTACAGTCATGGGTCCAACTCCACCGGGTACAGGAGTAATATGAGAGGCGACTTGACGCACCTCCTCATAATCTACATCCCCCACTAACCGCTGACCTGACTTTCGCGAAGGATCTACAATTTTATTCACTTCAGTAAGCAGATAGGATGTTTAAATAATAATTTAAAAACAAACATTGTATAAGCAATACCATCCCAATTTTTTTTTTGTAAAATCCATACACAATATAGCTATTATAGACTTACCAGGTATAACGTTGATTCCACAGTCAATAACTACGGCCCCCTTTTTTACCCAATCTCTTTTCACCAACTGAGCTTTTCCTATAGCAACCACAAGAATGTCTGCTTGCTGACACTAAACACCAACAAATATTTTTAAAACACTAAATATCAATATTAATCATATAATTTAAAAATATACTACAAAATTTTCAATACAATATACGTATGAAACTATAAACTGTAAAGCACCTTAAAGCAAGAACTACTGTGCTTCTTTGTTATTTCATTTAATTAAATTATTATCAGAAGTTAGAAAGCAGTAAATAAATTATTGCTATTAGCTTCAAATTAATATAATCAAAGGACAAATATCAAACAACAACCGAAACCTATTTACAAAGTTTAGAAGTTGTTGTATGTTGTAATAATAAGCTTTGGAATTCAATTATAAAATTATAAAACTTTTATTCAAAACAGTATCATCTTTCTACTGATGAACAGTATATATACCAGCCAAATTTTAAACAAAAAAAACTTGTTTGTTCCATGTCTATACTAATAATGATTGTAAAATACACATTAAGGGTTGTTCTTAACAAGATGACTTTCAAATTTTCTTCATTTCAGTATAGTAAGCTTAACAAATACTCGTAGTGTAGATTGATTTTTTTTCATATTTTCACCCTTCAAATAAAACTTTAATAGCTTGATATTAAATAGGAGCAATGTGATAATTTTTATTAGACATTGAGACCAAGCGTCTAAAGAATAAAACTAAAAAGAATTGATCAAAATCTTTGCAAAAGTTTTTGCTTGATGCTTCCACATAAAATCGCCCCTTTTATCCTATACAGTTCATAAAAGTGACTTACAACTTCCTTCAAATTCTTCGTTTTTGAATGACAAACTGTGACGGTAGCATGGTTCCATTTCAAAAGTTCTGCAATTGGAGTTCCAACAATTTTACTCCTACCTAAGACGGTTGCGGTCGCCCCAGCAATAGGGACACCTGTACTTTTAATAAGCTCGATACATCCATTGGGGGTGCACGGTACAAACCCTGAAAAATCTCCTATGGCAGTTTTACCCTCGTTTATTGTGTGTAAACTAAAAAATAAATTAACGATAACGAATGTTGATTAATATAAAAACTAAAAATATTTTTCATCACCTATACCTACCCATCAACATCTTTAGACGGAGCAACCGAATCAGTAACCAAATGGGAATCAATAGGTGTTTCTACGTCTAAAGGCATTTGAACAATTATACCGTGAATGCTAGGGTCGCTATTTAAATTACTCAGTTTTTGGAGAAGCTAAAATTATAAAAGAAAATTCCTAATTACCTAATTATAAAAAATTAAAACTTTTGATGTTCAATTACCTCTGTCTCTGTAATATCTCTTGGGAAACGGACGTGCTCTGCCCTCATACCAATTTCCGATGCTGATTTTATTTTCATATTAATATAAACATTTGAATCACTCCTGTTACCCACCTGCACAATAGCAAGTCCTGGTTGGAAGTCTGGTACCTTTTGCCTCATTCGCTGGACTTCATTTTTGAGATCTGCTGTTATTTTCCTAAGATTTCAAAAATTTATATAAGAACCACGTATTTTTTTTAAAAAATACCTACGTTCTGAACTTCCTACAGATTTTAAATTATAGTTTTTGAGTTTACCTTACCTTAAATAGCAATCACTATAATTTTCGAGTACATTCATTTTTGAAAATTAGTTCTATTAAACGCAAAAATTAAATACAAAACTTATTTCTGTAATGCACCAAACATGAATAGCAATTACGAAGGCAATGAATATATCTTATTGTAATTTATTTTATTATAAAAATACAGACGACCTTCCACTACATATAACTGCATTGTTCTTATGATATGTTTTTAACGATTACAGTTATTTTGATATTGCATTGTAGGACAATTAACTGATGGTCAAAATTTTAACTATACTTACATATACATAATGCATGTAGTTTCATTATTATGTTTATTAGAATTGAAAAGTTAATTGCGTAATGGAAAAATCCTTCTTCATAAAATCACAAAATTAATTTACACACGAAATGTACCTACACAAAATATATCGTTTTTAAAAAGGAATACATTTAGTAAGTTGAAAAGTAATAAAAAAATACAAAACAGTTTATAATATACAATAAAAAATGTGAAAAAAAAAATTGAAGTAGCTAGTGTTGTAAACAAGAAGAAACTATTCTAAATTACTTTTTTTTCCAAAAATTGTAGGTTTTAAAGAGCGTCATTTCCAAAATCTTAGAGTACAGATGAAATATTTTTAAAAATAAGTTTTTTATTAACTTACAACTTATCGAGCTTGACTTCTTTATCAAATATAACTGACCATTCCAATAAATAAATAAATTTATATTGTAAACATTATATAAAGAACTAATCAAGTAATTAATTAGTCGTACAATTTTCACTTAGATGACGAATAATAAAAGAAACGTAAAGAAAGCAAAATTTCAAAGTACACAAAGCACATGAAATCTCAAGAAATGTTATTTATCCTTAATAATAATTTGCAAAAACTTTAGACTAAACTAAAATAAAAAATAATTGAATATATGAATACGTACCCTGCTATTTCAGTACCAGAAATTTTTTTCGCCATTTTTTTGGGCAGCGCACCTTTAAAAAATTGTAAAACCAGTCACTAAGTTTGAAATACGAATGAATAATTTATGTTAAATCTCTCTCTGGTTATTTTACTATCACAATAAGCGATGTTAAGGGAAAGATATACAATAAGCATACAAAAAGGTTATCAAAAATTATGTTAGAGTTTGTTTTTTTCAGTTAACTGGTTTACTACATCATTCGTATGATGCAACAAGTATTCATATCAACGTTAATATGCGTCAATTATTTTTGAAAAGAATCTTAAAAAAGGATACCTAACATTGCTATCATAACAAATTAGTTTTCCTTACCTGAGCTTCCTTTGAATAAAGAATAAAAAAAAGGCCTCATGATATATAAAAAATAAATGTAACGTCTCCAGAATTATAATAAATCTGAAGATGATTACAATAAAAGCAATTGTTTTTCAATTTTAACTATATATACAATTTTAAATAATCAAAACAAATAAATTGTGAAATGTTCAGTATAGTCTTGCAAAACCAATAATTGCTAAAAAACAACAATATTTTCACTGATCATAAATAATAAAATTAACTTAAAGGAAATGCAACTTAAATGCACTTAACGGAAACGCAATGCCTAATTTCTTGGTGTTCCGAAAAAAAAATAACATTCCAGTTATTATAAAGGCGACACGCTGAAAAATTAATAAAAAAGACTATTTTTTGGAAAATANGTTACGGTAAGATTTTTCACAAATATTGTACAGTATGGGGTAGTCTTGCCTAGTTTAAACTATTTCCTTTATTATCCCATAATTCTGGTTATAATCCACTTGTTTGCTCCTCAGTTGTTTTATTTTGTTTTAATTGTTTAAAGTATTCAGTTAAGCAAACTTTAAAAAAACAAAACGATTGTCGGTTATATAAACAGAATTTTTCTTTTCTTTGAACACCTTATATAAAAAGAATAATTTAATTGAAGATAAAACATTACGCCTTATAATTTTTAGTTGGACAAATTTTCAGTAAAGCCGTCTGTCTCGTAAATATTATATATAAAAGAAATTATGAGTGCTGTCAGCACAAGGTTAAGTAGTATGTAAATGAAAGTTAGTATCAGCACTTTCTTATGCTGAAGTGTACGATGTGTTGTATACCTATTTACAAACAATTCCTTTACATTTTAATCATTGATTACTATACATCTATCAAAAACCATAATGGACGGCATCAGTAATAATGCGACAACAATTGAAAAAGAATGATGGCCGACAATAGCAACAATTAGAAAAGAATGATGGCCGACAACAGCAACAATTAGAAAAGAATGATGGCCGACACTACGTCATGGTATTGTTTACAAAAGTGAATTTCGACCATTCGAAGCAACGGTGCTACAGAATTTTAATTCATTTTAATTGCAATAAAACTCTTGAACTTTTTAATTAGAAAAAAAAATGTTCAATTGCAGGTCAATTCATTACTAAACTGAGAATTAAATTAATTGCACACTTCTAAAACAAGAGAACCTTTTCTATAGAAACCCAAGTAGTTAAAGAAGGTTATGACTCTATGGAAAAATAAGAAGAAAGGAGGGAAAAGCTTTTACAAAAAACTTACTTGCACTGCAGTAAATTAAAATATGTTCCCTCATTTTAATTCTTTTCTGCAGAACTTGTAGCCTGAACAATCTTTTCAAACACTACTGCTTTTATGAAACAGAGAACATTCGCAACTTTTAAAATAAACTAATGCAAGCATTATGGAACTGTGCCGCCACTTCAAACTGCTGTTGGTACATCATAAATATTTTTATCTGTTGGCAACATATTAATTGGAAAGAACTATCTATGAAAAGAACTTAACCCTACTGCCACTGCCGTATTTCAATTGTCTTAGGGGCAAAAATTTTGAAAAACATCTGCAAAACGAGAAGAAACTTTGTTTTAAATTAAATTAAAGGTATTTATTCAAACAAACAAAAACATTTCATGTATAATCATTTTTTAATATTTAGTTTCTTTTCATCAATGTCTAGTGATTACATAATTTCTGAATCTTTCAAAAGAACACGAAAATATCTCATGGGGCAATCTAATTGTTTTGAAATATCTAAAATGACTAATTCCAACTATTGATTAATATCTTTTTCAGGTGAAAAATGGCAGACAAACCAGAAGTAGCAGGCAGACCAATGAAATTTCCCTACACCTTTTCTGCAAAGATTGCTCAATTCCCATTTAAATTCTACTTCCAGAATAATTGGGTTTTCAAATACTATTTAATTTCTGTGGTTGTATGCACCCCAATATTCTATAAAATTTCCAGATTAGGTAACTATTAAATCATACGTTTGCAGATGATTTGATAAATAACAATTGGAATGTTTATACTGTAATTCTCTCTTTCTTTTTAGCTAATTCTCCTGAAAATAAAGCCAAATGGGCAGAAATAAGACGTAAAGAAGCTGCAGAACATCATTAAATACCTATTTAGCATTTCAGTAGACTATTATAATAAACAATGTACAACTTTCACTTGAAATATATGTTTATTTAACATTATATGTATTTTGAAATAACCACTTTAAGTAGAAATTGTCAATGAGTTGTTTTTATGTTAATAAACAGAAGTTAATGTAGATTAATATTGAATCGAAACTTATTTAATAAACACCGTATATAATAGATGTATTTTAGACAACCAGCAATACGCGGCAGCCATAACGGTTGCAGAAATCGAAATAAGAGACCAAGTTATGTTCTTTCATTATTGAGTTAAAAAATTGCAATCAACTTTATATTATTTCCCTTTAGACTAAACTAAAATAAAAAATAATTGAATATATGAATACGTACCCTGCTATTTCAGTACCAGAAATTTTTTTCGCCATTTTTTTGGGCAGCGCACCTTTAAAAAATTGTAAAACCAGTCACTAAGTTTGAAATACGAATGAATAATTTATGTTAAATCTCTCTCTGGTTATTTTACTATCACAATAAGCGATGTTAAGGGAAAGATATACAATAAGCATACAAAAAGGTTATCAAAAATTATGTTAGAGTTTGTTTTTTTCAGTTAACTGGTTTACTACATCATTCGTATGATGCAACAAGTATTCATATCAACGTTAATATGCGTCAATTATTTTTGAAAAGAATCTTAAANAAACGAGTAGAGAAAGTGTTTTGAGTTTACCAATTCAACAGTTTCAAATATTACATTGGCGATTAATGTGCAAGATGAAAATTAAATTTTCCGCGTATTTTACGCAATCATAAAACGCGTATTTTAGAAATAATTTAAGACGTTTTGTGCGATCTTTAACGTAAGGAACAATGAATACGATATTATTGACGAATTCAATAATAAGAATATTTAAATTCAAAATAAAGTGAATAATGGAGATGTTACGTTTACTTTTGAATATGTTTCTTCGATAATGGCATTACTGCGTTCGTGTTTTTGCTGCGGATTAGCCATAGCAGCTGGATTTTTAGCTGTATATCTAGTTGTAAGTAACTTTTTCGTAGGAATAAATAAATAAATTATTTAAGTTCATAAATCACAATCGCCTTCAAAAAATGATTGATACACTCATTTACGCACATGGTACCAATACCAAGGTTATATATTATTATTTAGGTATCTACATGTGATTGAACTTTTCTTACGTTAAATAAAAACGAAATGAATTAATTAATAAGTGCGACGCGGCTCTTTCCCACACAAAATAAAAACAAAAGTTTGCTAAACGCCGCGACCGAATCTTTAGTAACCGTGAAAAAAGCTACAAAAAGAATAGAACAGGTTTTAGAGGCAGAAAACCAGTAGGTAGGTACTGAAATCGAATTCAGACTTCAGACCGAGTTTACTTACTTATATTTGCCCACACAGACAGGTGTAAAATGCAATACGTTTAGGTAGTTACAAAGGGTAAAAATTATTTTAAAATTAAATATTTTATATCGTAAATACCAAGGCCACACTCATGTTGTACAAAAAAATAATAAAGAAATTTACAGATAATCATTTTTTTATTTAAATGTTTCTTAAATGTGCCTAATAAGTATGTCTAACACCCCTAAAATTTATACTTTTATGCTTCTAAAGATTTAGAGTTAGCTGCAGTTGTTTTCATAATAATACAACAGAATTTTAATCCCAAAACTGCCTTTTTTTATACTTTTTTGACTCTATTAAACTTAAAACCATAGAAAATACCTTTATTTATCGATAAAATAAACCGTAAATAACGGCACATTAAAAAGCTTTACCGTCATGTGAATTTGTAATGAAATTAAGTTGGTGACTTCAATGCTACGTTAGAACACAAACACGCACTCTTTCTTTATTTGCTTTTAATTTTATTGTTTTTCAATTTGTTTGTTGAAACAAACGAATGAATGTAACAAAGAAGCATCAGTTTTTAGTTTTTTGAATAATAAGTGAATCTGTTTATTAGAGAGCATTTAAACAAAGGAAATGACAGTTCAGCGTAAGTGTAATTCGAATTTATTTGACTTTGAGTACCTACATGAACACAGTGAAGGAAACTGAATAAATTTCAGATTTGTTTTAACTATTGAAATGCTCTGAAACAAACCAACAAACTTGGAATTTGTTTACTTTATTTAAAGTGTGTAACTGACTGGGGTCTTTAACTATTCGAAGGCCTTTTCTTAGAATAAATTTGACTTTAAAAGCACATATAAAAGCCGTAGTAAAGTGCCTTCTAATTTGTATTACCATTGAGTTCTCCATTCGTTGCCGTTTTACGATTCTACTACAAAATGAACTTTGGCGTTTAAAGACAACGATGACGGTTCTTATTATTATACAGCTATATTTATGCATCATATAGTATGCATAAATGAATAATACGTAAAGTTGTATCTATCAAACAAAATAAAAGCAATACAACCTGACGAGTTTTGATGAGTACCTATACGTACCATCCAAGGCTGCATTATGTACTTAATTTATTTTTTTTTATATGTACCTACCCATATAAAATTTATTTTTTTACAACCACATTGTGTTTTAATTTTAAACGTTTTTCGATAAAAAAAATGGTAGATACCTACCAAAAGTTACGGTAGCGATTGTTTTTTTTTTTAATAGTATACTTAATCACGTATTATCTGATAAGCGTATATTAAGTACGTTGTTAATCGCGATTTAACCATTCCAAAACAGGACAAATGGAAAATAACTTTCAAAGCACTTTTTGTTCTATTTTGTAATGATCATGATCAAAGTGTAATCATTTTAAAATAAATTTTGCAAGTGATTCGGACGTGAGAAATTCTCAGACCCAGAGTCTTAGAAATATTTACAAAAAGTAACTGCACTTTTCGCTTTCCGATTTTGTTTCGGTTTTAATAAACGAACAAGAATCCGATTTTGCCGATTCTGTGGGAACGCTTCTAAGTACCTACCTATTAAGCAAACACATTAAAAAAAAGAAAAAGAAAACGAAAAACGAAAACGGGAAGTGATAATTATTAATCTGAAGTCTGAAATACAACAGCGAAATTTTCACATTCGTTTGTCTAATTACAATGAACCTGTCAATTATTTCCTCGCGCAGTAAGTAGTTTCCTGAGAATGCAACGAACATTAATTGAATTCTACTGTCTCAGAATTGTTCTTTTCGACTTTACCTCGACCTGCTTTTCAAACGAAATAGAGTAGGCAGCAGGCGAGTGTACAATACCTAAATATTTATGCAAGTATCTATTTACAATCACTTCTGATATCGCATACATACATATACGTAGATACCTATATTGAGTATTCTAAAAAAAATTTTTTGTAAAAAAAATCCCTTTAATTTATTAAAAATATCAACTCTGAAATGTTGTAAACTGTCATTTTTCAATGGTAACAGCCCTAATAGACAGGGATTTTAATGTAACTAAGTCAAAGCTGAAACTGCGGTCGTTTTTGCGCGAACACCATTTGAATTGGTTATACAACAGCGTTACCGTTTCTGATGGTGGCGACCGCAAGTGGCCGCTTCTCGTACCAATAATGCAAGCAGCCGAGTATCCGAGCGATAGTCTATATTTGGAACACCCTGTACTAGTGTTTTTAACCGTAACATTATATTATTTAAACGGTGCATATGGTGCAAGAGTTGTAAATATTTCTACTTCTAGTGTGCATACCTACATGCATATGTAACAGCTGTATGTGTCTATGTATATACAAACCGAATTGCGTATTGCGCCCACCACCTCTGGTTAAACAAACTCGAAAATGATAACAATTCATGCAAATCTAGCATAACAAATACGTGAACACATATTCGCATAATATTATGTACACGGGCTTCAAAGATTAATTATGCCAAAAAAACTAATTTGGTAGGTAACGATATCAATAAATGCATATTATGTGTATCAATTTTATGAAATTAATACAAAGGTGTGGTACTGTTTCTGGAAATGTAGTGATTGCACAAAAACCCAAAAAGCAATTCTACATTTTATCTAAATTTTATTTTTTTCCTGAATAATAATTTATGTTAATTATATAATATAATATTAAAAATACATGCGCTTTTTGTCTTAATTCATCATTATCATAAGGTCATCAGTCCTAAGACTGGTTGGACGTGTACCTCCACACTTTCCTATCCTGAGCTAAACTTCGCATTTCCCTAAAACTAGAACAGCCCACATCCTTAACTATTTGCTAATAGTAATCTAATCCAGGTCTACCTCTACCCCTCTTAACTCCTGTTTCTGCCTCTAATATGTCTTTGACTAGACCTTCATGCCTGAGAAGGTGTCCTACCAACCTATCTCGCCTATTTTTTATTGACTTCCATAGAGTCCTCTCCTATTCTTTCCAATACCTCTTCGTTTCTAACCTTTTCTACCCACGTTATCCTCATCATCCGCCTATAACATCATATTTCGAACGCTTCTAACCTTTTCTTTTCCGCCGCGCCCACTGTCCATGTTTCGCACCCGTACAACGCCGTGCTCCAAACATACACCTTTAACAACCTTTTTCGAATTTCTAAATTAACCGTTCGCGAGCATAGAAGTGACTCTTTTTTATTAAAGGCGACACGACCCTGCGCTATCCTCTGCTTTATGTCCCTACTACTCCTTCCATCCTGACTTATCTGACTTCCTAGGTATCTAAAATCCGCCACTTCTTCTAATTGTTCGTTTCCTATCTTTATATTCGCTCTTTCCCTACTTTTTCTTCCCTTGCATACCAGTATTTTAGTTTTACTTTTATTTATTTTCATACAGTACTGATCTGTCAGTACCGCTTCCATTTTAATTAAAGCTATCTGTAAGTCCTCCTTACTAGATGGTAATACTGCTATATCATCTGCAAATCTAAGCATACTAATCTTTTGCCCTTGTACATCTATCCCTACAGTTGTACTATCTTTAATGATGTTAATGGCGTCTTAAATGTATAGATTAAAAAGTAGCGGTGACAGTGTGCATCCCTGTCTGACTCCCTAATATTTACTTCTCTACGTTGCAGCACGTTGTCTTAATTATTAAAAAGAATTTCCAGTCACTACTCCGTCATTTGAAGTTTAGAAACTGACGTTACATCAGAAATGCCGCTATAACCGAATCTGTAATAACCAATTTCCGTTGTATTACAATATCCCTGTTCTTCGTATCATATTAAAAATAGTAAAAACGACTTTTCTTCGGCAAAAAATCCTCATTATGATAGTTTATTAATTTTGTTTTGAATAACTAAAAAAAATTAAACGATCGGACACCTTTAATTAATTATCTCTTTTACTGTTTTAATTAGTTTTATTTACTGTAGGTACTAGTGTTGTTACTTAACGTTTAGTTGCGCTTAACATTCTGTCTACACACATCTATTTTTACTCCGAACTTTTTACAATAGTTAGACACACATTACGCCAATTCCGTCACTTGACCACTTTAAAGGTCACTATTACATGCTATTACGTGTACTCGGAATGCAACATTTTTTTGTCGTATTTGCAGCATTTCTGCTTTTCACTTGGGCAATCGCCAATTGCATTCTATGTACATATAAACACTCTTCCGCTCAATAAAAGTGAATGTAAAGTACTTACGATTAATTTGTCAAATAAATATGTAGCAATGTTCCATATCATAGCAAGCAATGTTTAATGTTTTTAAATTTCGAGAAAAGTTTTTTGGTAACGTTCGTTGTTAGAAACGTATTAGAAGCAGAGCCAGGAGTTAAGAGGAGTAAAGGCAGTCTTAGGACTGACGAGCGTAAGATAATGATGATGTGAACTATTTATTTTGATAATGTCATTGAACTAGTCGCGAAGCAGTAGATCTCCTTTTATTCAAGATTATTATTTATTTTGATTCAGTCTGTACATCCTCAATTACTTGTTGATGTCCTTACACAGCCAAGCCTAGTCAGATCAAACTGAGATCTTCGTCAAGGACTCTTCTCTGACCACCTTATGATGATGATCATGTAACTCCTAGAGATGTACAAAATGTTTTTTTTAAA